CTCCCCTCCCCTGCCCCTGCTCTGGCCACACGGGCCACTGCCTTCCTCAAGCACTAAGCACACAGTTACCAAAGGGCCTTTCCACCTGCTCCATAGGTTTAGACTGCTCAGCCCCAAGATGGGGGCGGGGCTTGCTGCCTCCTTCATTTAGGTCTCTGTCCAAACTCTGAGCCTTCCTTGACCTCCTGATTTAAAATACCAAACGGGTTGCCTGCAATCGCTATCCACCTTGTTCTGCTGTGGCTTTTTCCCAGCTTCCTCCTTATCACTGCATGATATGTAATATATTTATTGTCTGATCACACTTTTCTATAGGAGTGCGACTTTTGTGAGGGCGGGGGCTTTGTTTTATTCACTTCTGTATCCACAGCACCTAGGATAAAGCCCTTGCCATCATGTCAATTCCAACTCATAGTGACCCTATAGGACAGAGTAGAACTACCCCATAGGGTTTCCAAGGCTGTGCTCTTTACAGGAGCAGAGTATTGCCTCTTACTCCCACAGAGTGGCTGGTGGGTTCGAACCGCCGACCTTTTGGCTAGCAGCTGAGTGCTTAACCACTGCACCACCAAGTCTCCTCTAGTAGATAGAATAATACCTAGAATAACCAAAAAAACAAACCCATTGCCATCGAGTCAGTTCTGACTCATAGTGACCCTATAGGACAGAGTAGAACTGCCCCATAGGGTTTCCAAAAAGCAGCTGGTGGATTTGAACTGCTGACCTTTTGGTTAGCAGTCAAGCTCTTAACCACTGTGCCACCAGGACTCCAATACCTAGACTAGTACCTGACATATGTTATTGGTGTTAGGTACGACGAGTCAATTCTGACTCACAGCAATCCTAATATGACAGAGTAGAACTGCCCCAGAGGGTTTCCTAGGCTGTAATCTTTATGGGAGCAGATCGCCAGGTCTTTTCTCTTGTGGAACCACTGGGTGGGTTTGAATCGCCAACCTTTTGGTTAGCAGCTGAGCGCTTAACCATGGAGCCACCATAGCTCCTTACCTGGCAAATAGCAGATGCTTAATAAATATCAGTTAAATGAAAGGCCCTGGCCTGCTCCTTCCTAGCTGTGTTTTCAGCATGTCAGTCAACCTCCCTAAGGAGGGAGACCAACTGTTCAGTTTTCCCAGGGATGAAGGGGTCCTGGGCTTTCAGTGCTAAAAGCGGGAAAGTCCCAGCAATTCACGCCGAGCTCGTGACCCTGCCTTAAGCCTAAGTTTCCTCATCTATAAAAGAGAGCTGAGGGAGAATTAAACAAGAGCGTGTGTGTAAAATGCCCGGCTTGCTGTCTAATCCTTCGGAGGCCCTCATCGATGAGAGTTGTAGCTGTGTTTCGTCAGCCTTCTCTTGCTGTGCTCGCAGCCTCTCCCACTGGTCTCCAGCCACAGTGACCTGCCTGCGGGCCTTGACAGTCCAGTGCCTTCCTGGCTGTGGGCCCTCACAACTCACAAGGTCCTGTCTGAAGGGGAAGGGGGCATTTCAAGGTTGCCATTTCGTTTCGGCTACTTTGGTGCAGCTGTTGTGATGGTAGAGACTTTTGATGTTGTCCCTTTAGCTCAGGGACATTTAGACCTTGGCCTTAAAATTTATCAACCTTCTAGATTCTAAACCCTTCATTTATCAAGTATTGTGCAAAGCATAATCTCAGTACTGAAGCGAGGGCCAATGTTGGGATCAGGAGCGGGCGGGTGGACAAGCTGTGTGTAACTGAGGGGATTTGCTTATCAGCTCCTTCACCCTGGAGAGGGCTTTTGAGTCATTCTAAGCACAGCATCTGTTTATTGTCTGGAAATTCACTGAGAACTTGAATGGTTAGCCTCTCAAAGTCTCAGATGTCTCACTTAAACTGAAATATACTGGGGGGAGGAGAGGAAGTTTGGGTCACAATGGGATTCATTGTTCCCAACTCCAGATGAACATGTGAGATCTCCCATGCCTTTTCCAACAGTTCTTTCCATTCTTTCCAAAACAGACATGTATTATGTTTAAATATCATAGACCTCCTTTACCATGATAGTTTTGGGGGAAGGGCTTATGTCCTCTGTTATGGATTGAATTTTGTCCCCCCAAAGTGTGTATCAACTTGGCTACTCTATGAGTCCCAGTACTGTGTGATTGTCCACCATTTTGTCATCTGATGTGATTTTCCTATGTGTTGTAAATCCTACCTCTATGATATTAATGAGGTGGGATTAGCAGTAGTTATGTTAATGAAGCAGGACTCAGTCTACAAGATTAGGTTGTGTCTAACATCAATCTCTTTTGAGATATAAAAGAAACAAGCAGAGAGACAGGGGGACCTCATACCACCAAGAAACAAGAGCCAAGAGAATAGCGCATCCTTTGGACCTGGGGTCCCTGCGCTAAGAAGCTCCTAGTCCAAGGGAAGATTGATGACAAAGACCTTCCTCCAGAGCCGATAGAAAGAGAAAGCCTTCCCCTGCAGCTGACGCCCTGAATTTGGACTTATATCCTACTAGACTGTGACAGAATAAACTTCTGTTTGTGGAAGTCATCCACTTGTGGTATTTGTGTTATAGCAGCACTAGATGACTAAGACATCATCTTAGAGGCTAAGCTAATTGTAAAAGACTTTCAGAACTATATATTTTTCTGAATGTAAAAGTAATTCATATTCATAAAATATCAAAATGATGCAGAAATGAATGTGGTAGAAAGTGAAAGTCCTTCATGAGCAGGAATGGAGTAAGGGTCAAGGTGTCTGGTGTGCACATCATGTAAGAATAGGAGGTTTTATCCTTTGTAGCAGCTGGGTCCAGAGACCCACCTTCACAAAGAACCTCAAATTTAGATTTATCATGCTGTCCCCAATATAAATATACAAAGTCTCAGAAGAGTCTGCCGTCAAAATCAGGCACAAAAGGGCAAATATTGTATGATCCCATTTATATGAAATATTCAGAATATTCAAAAGCATAAAGACCAGAGATTATTAGTGGTTACCAGGGGCAGGTGATGGGGGGAATATGGGGAGTTATTGATTAAGGGGTACTGAGTTTCTGTTAAAGGTGATAAAAAAAATTGGAAATGAATATTAGTGATGATCATACAACATGGTGAATGTAATTAGTGTCACTAAATTACATGCAAAAATGCTTGAAATGGCAAATGTTTTGTTATATATGTTTCACTATAATAAAAATTAAAAAGTTTGTCACCATTCCACTTCAATTGTTAAATCAAACATTTAAAATACAGCAGAAGAGTTCTAACCCTATCTTCACATTTCCTCATTTTTAAAAAACTCTGCCTTCAAGAAGTCCCTGAGTCAGAATTGTCACTGTTGCAAAAGGTATCACGGTAATTTCAAAATATCCTGCTTTCGACTGGCCTGTTTCCTCCCTGCTTTATTATAGATGCTTTAGTCTCAGCCTAGGAGAGTTCCCTGACCTATCAGGACGGGATCAGGGACCCCAGGAGCCCACAGTGCCGTACAAGTCATTGCACCGTGTCATCATTTCTCAGTCTCAGTGGTGGGAGACCAGCTGTGAGGCCGCTGGGTTGCTGCATTCTGGAACCTTGTTGTGATGGTTAAGGTTATGTGTCAACTTGGCTGGGCCATGATTCTCAGTGGTTTGGCAGTTATGTAATGATGTAGTTTGGCAGTTATATAATGATGTAGTCATCCTCCATTTTGTGACCTGATGTGGTCATCTGCCATTTTGTGATCTGATATAATTGTCCTCCATTTATAGTATTGTGTAATTATGTGTCGTAAATCCTAAACCCCTAAATGTTAATGAGGCTGGATTAGTGTGGGGTGTATCTTTGGTAAGGATTTGACTTGACTTACTGAAGTCACCACCTTTAACTCACCAACTTGCTCAAGTAAGGGGGGTTTCCTTGAGGGTGTGGCCTGCATCCAATACACATGAATGTTCTGGAAAAGTTCTCTCTCTCACTCTGGATCCTGCATCTGGCTTGTCATCATCTGACCTCTGGTTCTTGGGACTTTAGCCAGCAGTCTGCTGTCTGACCTGCCAATTCTGGGATTTGCCAGCTTCCACTGCTCTGTGAGCCAGCAGCCTATTGTCTGACCTGATTCGCCAGCTTTTGCAGCCCCGTGGGCCAGCAGCCTGTCATCTGACCTGCCAGTTTGGGTTTGTCATCCCCTGAAACCACGTGAGTCAGGAGGAGAAGCCTCCAGCCTGATACCTGACCCATGGATTTGGGACTTGCCAGCCTCCACAACTTCATGAACTGTTTCCTTGAGATAAATCTCTGTATCTGGTTTTGCTCCTCTAGAGAACCCAGCCTAAGACACTTGTACAGGTGCTGGTCCTGATGAGACCCCAGTAAACACCCCTGTGGCCCAACCTGAGAATTCCACACATCTGCTATTTGCGCTGTAAATGTGCATTTGGGTTCATCCATTTTTTACAAAAGATAATGGGTTTGGGGATTATTTTCTCAACAGAATTCAGTGAACTGGATGTTGTCAGCTATTAGAACAAACCAAAAGGATTGAATAGTCTGTAAAATAATCAAACACGGGAACCAATTGGACAGTAAGGTCAATTCAGCCAACAGATATAATTGAAGCCTCCATCCCAAGCTGGTAACATACAGGGTGGCTTGTCCAGCCAGGCATCATAACTTTGTAGTAGGCAGCATGGCCTGTTTTTTTTTTAATTGTAGTAAAATATATATAACACAATGTTTCCCAATACAACATTGTTTACACATACAATTCTGTGACACCATTTACATTAATCATGTTGTGCAACCATTATCAGTATCCATTTGCCAAAATTCCCATCACCATTAACTGATACTCAATGTTTCCTAAACAATAACTCTCCCTTTCCCCCTCCCTCCCACCCTTGGTAACCACTAATAAACTTTGGTCTGTATGCATTTGCCTATCCTAGATATTTCATGTAAGTAGTGTCATAACAATATTTGTCCTTTTGTGATTGACTTACTTCACTCAACATCATGTCGTCAAGGTTCATCCACGTTGTAGCATGTATCAGAACTTCATTTCTCTTTATGACTGAACAATATTCCAGTGTATGGATAGGCCACATTTTGTTTATCCATTTATCCGTTGATGGAAGCATGGCCTGTTTTGAGTTTCATCAGTCAACTGAAAAAGTGACATCCATGGTTAGTGACTGTAAAAATGGCTTGGAGGTGGAGTCTGACCTCCTCCAACCCCACAAGGGGGAAGAAGAACCAAGATCAACAGTACAAGGCTGACTCCCATGTGGCAGAGGCCAGACAAGCCTCCTCTCTCCACCATCTTTCCTAATTCTGACACCAACTGCCCCTCCCACAGCACTCTCTACTTCTCTGCTGGGTTCGAGAATTCATTGCAATGGCCACACAGAACTCACAGACAATACTCAGGATTATTGGGTTTATTGGGGAAGTAACTGTTACAATTCAGGCTCAGGAACACTCAGGATACAGTTCTTCTGTCAGGACAGCTGAATTCGCAGGCAGCCTCTCCCTGGCCCTAGGCCTCTACCTAAAGTCTCTCAGCTTCCTCTCTTTGTGGGCTGGGAAGCCCACCATGCCATCTCCTGCTGCTGGGTCTCTACTGCCAGGTCTCTTCTGCCACTGCTTCTCACTGTCTTCAGGGTTACAGCTCACTCTGTTTCTAGCTCCTGGTTCCAGCAGCTTCTCAGTACAGGGATCCTGGATCCTTTTTCTGGCTCCTGGCTGTTCTTCCTTGGTGGTGGTGGGGTCGTCTCTTTCCTGCCTCTAGGGTGGCTCATTTCAAGCCCAGCAGGATGGCAAAACTGACCCATTCATTTGGTGGGCCACAGTTACCATATCTGCACAGTCCTGCCCAATCTCTTGGTGGGAGTTACAAGATCATGGCTAGAAAGTCCATATTAAGTAAGTCATTGCACCACAGCAATGAACAGTAAAACATTTAGTTGTTATCATGCAGAGAGACAATATTACGAAGGGTTAATAGTGGTTAATAGAGTGGGTTTGAATCCTGCCTCCGGGCAAGTCATTCCTGGTTGTAAATGGGGGTGATGAACCCTGCCTCACAGGGGTGCTGTAGAAACTTTCAGGAAATAATGTATATAAGGCAAGCAGTGCCTGGCATGGAGTAAGCACTCATTGTCGAGTAACTGTATTATCAACAAAACCTTTATAAGTCAGAAATTTCACAAGGAGGGTAGAAAATCTAAACCAGGATATGCAAATAATACTAACTAAGGCATGGAAATATCACCATTTTGCAACTACCGTTGTAGTAATTGATTCAGGAAAGATCATCGATGGATGCTGAATCATTGGGTGAAAGATTATTGGAGGAGAACAAGACATTTGTTTAAAAAATGACAAAAATGTCCTTTCACAAAGGAGAGATCTTGAGAACACTTGAATGTGATCCTCGGTCTAATACCGAGGAAACAATCAGACAAATATAAACTGAAGGAAATTCGGCTTGGAGTGGACTTTTTCAAAAACACCCATGTCTTGAAAGAAACAATAAGTCTAGAGAAGTGTGGAAGTGTTCCAGAAAGATGGGCACTATAGGGAGATGACAACTCAATGCAAAGCATGATCTTTAACTGAACCCTGGATTGAAAAAAAACAAAACAAAAACAGCAAACAACATTATTGAGATAACCGGGGAGATGTGATTATGGACCGATTATAGTATTGTAATAATATTAAATTTCTTCAGTGTGATTGTTGCATTGTGATTATTTCAAATAATACCCTTGTATCCTTGTTCCTCGTGGCACAGTGGTTAAGAGCTCGGGTGCTAACCAAAAGGTCAGCAGTTCGAATCCACCAGCTGCTCCTTGGAAACCCTATGGGGCAGTTCTACTCTGTCCTGTAGGGTCGCTATGAGTTGGAATCGACTCGATGGCAAAGGGTTTGGTGTCCTTGTTCTAAGGAGTCCTGGTGGTGTAGTGGTTAAGCACTCGGTTGATACTCAAGAGGTCAATGGTTCAAGCCCACCAGCCACTCTGCAGGAGAAAGATGTGGCAGTCTGCTTCTGTAAAGATTACAGCCTCGGAAACCCTGTGGGGCAGTTCTACTCTGTCTTTCAGGGTTGCTATGAGTTGGAATTGACTTTATGGCAATGAGTTTGGTTTTGATCTTTATTCTTGAAGAAGCCCTGGTGGTGAAATGGTTAAGAGCTTGGCTGCTAACCAGAAGGTCAGTGGTTGAACCCACTAGCCGCCCCATGGGAGAAAGATGTGGCAGTCTGCTCCCATAAAAATTACAGCTTTGGAAACCCTATGGGGCAGTTCTACTCTGTCCTATAGGGTCGCTATAAGTTGGAATCAACTCAACAGCAACGGGTTATCCTTGTTCTTAGTATTTAAGGCATCAGGAGTATTTGGAGTGATGTGTGATGCGTTCAATTTATTACCAAATGGTTAAGAAAAAAAGAAGAGTGTGTGTGTGTGTGTGTGTGGTGTTTGTAAGGGAGAGAAAGTAGCAAGTATAGCAAAATGTAAACAATTGGTGAATCTAGGTAAAGGCTATATAGGTGTTCGTTGTACTATGCTTTCAACTTTTCTGTAGATTTGACGTTTTTCAAAATAAAAAGTTGGGATAAAAATCAGGATATGGAAAAAGACAGAAGCAGATAACTGAGGTAGAAGTGAGCTCACCCACACAGAACTTCTGTTAGCTTCGGGGCCACCTGATGTCCAAGTGCATGGAAGAGCGTCCTAGCTCCGGGGTGTGCTCCCAAGGAGCAAGGTAGAGTCAGCTCTGGGACAAACAAATCAATATGGTGGTTCCAGATATCACATTTGGATGCCTCCATGTTGCCAGAAGGACCAGATGCCTGGAACTGCATCAACAGAGGTGACACCAGGGCTTGTGTCCTGCAGTGCCCTTTGGGCCTCACCTGCCTTCTTGAGCAGAGGAGGGCAAAGCTCGCAGGGTTGTATTTGCTGTGTCTTCCCCCTGCCATTGGCTCTGGTGGCTCCATACAACCCAAGAATCTGGAGGAGAACAGTTGGCCTGAGATGCTGAGCTTCATCATGGTCCTCTCCAGCATGGTGTTAGGGGCTCTGTTCCCAGCCTGCACACCCTCTGCCAGCTGAGCTCCTGGGAGGAAGAGAGAGTGAAGTGTCTGAGTGCCCACCCAAGGATGGAGAGTCTGGAATCCAGTCCAGATCCTCTGTTACAGACTTACCCACCTTTCTGCAGGCCAGCCAATGGAAGCAAGAGCTTGGGGGTCTGGAGGACCCTGTGTCTGGCAAGGCATTGAGTCCTCCCAGCTGGAAAAGCCTCTGAATCTATAAGAAAGAGACTATGAGCCAGTGTTGACACACCCATGGCCTCAGTGTCAGTTTCCACCAAAGCACAGAGCATTTCCTGTGCCTTTTCCTTTATTTCACAAGCCACCTCTTCTCACCCTCTGGGCCCCAGAACAGAGGGCTGCTTCTCCTCCTAGAAACCAGACAGCCAGCTCTGGCCGCTCCTGGCCAGTGCCATGGCCAAGAAACTTAGTGACCATCTCCTGAACTCCCTGGAGGAGCTGGTGCCCTATGACTTTGAGAAGTTCAAGTTCAAGCTGCAAAACACCAGCCTGGAGAAGGAGCATCCCCGTATTCCCCGGGGCCTGCTCCAGATGGCAAGACCAGTGAAGCTGGCCACTCTGCTGGTCAACAACTATGGGGAGGAGGACGCCGTGCGGCTGACCCTGCAGGTACTGCGGGGCATCAACCAGCGCCTCCTGGCAGAGGAGCTCTACAAGGCCACCGGCCAGGGTAAGGTGGGGCCCCCAGGCCCCTCGTTTCCCCATGTTGGCTGCTGGCTGTTTGTGGGGATGAGGTGGAAGGTGACGGAGGGAAGACGTGTTCAGACAAATGCATTCTGACTTGGGAATTAGAAATCGCAGGTCTACCCCAACCTGAGTGACCTTGGCCCCCCTCTGGTCTTTGGAGTTGGATTAGTAAAGATCTTCAAGGCTCCTAAATGCCTCGTGAAAAAAACCCAAAAAGGCTGGGACTCTGCTGTCAGGGTCAGGAGAGGCAGGAGCTACAGCCCCTTATGTCAGAGAATTCTTCATTTGTGATTAACACTTTTGTGCAGGCAAGTCTCTTTGTGTTAGCAAAAAGGGCTTTCTAACCAAGCATGTGAACGGGTTGATATGTAATCTCATTGTCATCCACCTAGTTTCAGTCTGAGTTCCTCTTTGACACCCTTTGTTGTCGTTCTTCAGTGCCTTGGAGTCGATTTGGACTCATGGTGACTCCATGCAATGGTGTAGAACTGCCCCATAGGGTTTTCAAGGTTTGAAGACTTTCTGGATATTTTCTGTGGGCCTAATACAAGGTCAATTTCAAAAAATTTTTCTTCGGTGTTTGGATTTTTCTTCTATTTCTAGATTTTATGAATACATTAGAAACCCGAGACTTAGGCCCTAAGACCCCCTTCTGAACTGGAACTGAAGCCATTCTGGGAGACCTCCTTTCAGCCAAACCATACACAGGCCCATAAAGTAAACAGTAACACCTGAGAGGAACTTGTTCCTTAGAACAATGAATTACGCAAGACCAAAAAGGCAACATTTGCCCAAAGGCAAAGATGAGAAGGCAGGGAGGGGTAGAAAATCAGGACGAAAGGAAATGGGGAGAGTGCTGACACATTGTGGGGAATGAAACCAACGTCATGGAACACTTTATATACAAATTATGGATTGAGAAACTAATTTCTGTAAACTTTGCTCTGTAAACTTTCACCTAATGTACTATAAACCATTTAAAAAAATTAGAAATGCTTTCCAAGTGTTTCTATGAGGTAGAATAATTTAAATAACATTCAGAATTCTCTATTCCTTGACAGAGTGATGGAACTAAATTGGAACGTGTCTGGTTCTGGTGTAATTTGATGAGTAGAATTTTTAAATTATCTTTTCATACTTTAAAATCTAGTTATTAATATCTTTAGGGCTGCTTACCAGTTCTTAAGCCAGTTTTGGTGGCTTACCAAAAGTTTTTCCTAGAAAGCCAACAGCAAACTGTTCTCAGCAACTTTAAAGTAATTTTAATAAGAGATTTTTCAAACCAAAAATTAAGGTGTTAATTATAGGCTGTCTTCATTTTCTTATTAGAGTCATGGTTTTCGAATTACGTCCTAGGAAGATATTTCAAGGATTCTTCAGCAAATATTTGATTCAAATTTTTTTACTTACAAAACTATTAACAAATTCATACTGAAATGTGCCATTAACCAAATTTTTACAGTATTGGAGGCCACCAGTGTGATAGCTAGCTTGTACTGAGCTCCAGCTGATTTTTATGTAGATCTTGGAATTAAGCCTTTCCTGCCATTTCTGTTTAATTAAACAGTATTCTGAGATTTCCAGGAAGCTGGTTTTAAAAATTACTGTTTACATTTACTTATCTGTATGAATTAAGATTTTCTTTAAATTATACAAAGAAAAATACAGAAGTAAATTAGTTTCTGAGGTTTTAATTGTCCTTCATAACCCCTGACTTCAAATGTTTGTGTAGGTCTAACACCCCAAATCTTCTTTATTGGTTGATTTTGTCATAAGTATATTTTGTACATCTGTAATTGTAAATAAGGAGCCCTGATGGCTCGGTAGGAGCCCTGGTGGCACCGTGGTTAAGTGCTCAGCTGCTAACCACGAAAAGTCGGCAGTTCAAACCCCACCAGCTGCTCTGAGGGAGAAAAACCTGGCCATCCGCTCCTGTGAAGATTACAGTCTAGGAATCCCTATGGGGAAGTTCTACTTCTGTCACATGGGGTCGCTATGAGTCAGAATCAACTGGACGGAACCCAACAACAACATAATTGCAAATAAATTTACTACAGTAAACTATGGTTTTAATTTCTATATTGGGGTTCTGTGTAAGACCTTATTTTATACGAGTTTTCTTGCTTAAAAAACTTGAAAAGCAGTATTTGAGAAATGTAGAGCAAACAACTAGCACACTCTTACTTAATGGTAATCAACTGCTGTTGTCCTAGAATGTTCTGAACTTTCACTTCTCTCATTCTGAGAAGATTCTCTCTTCCTGCCTTTTCCCCAACCCTCTACCCTAAACCTAGGGCATTTTCATGCCTTTGCATCTGGTTGTCTTTCAGACTATCCTACACAAGAAGGTGGCACTGACAGTTCAGCAGTGTTGTGTTCCTCTGGGGAGAATAAGCCCAAGAGCCTGAAGATACCAGATGGCCCGGACGGTGACAGACAGCAACAAAGTGGTGAGGGAATAGCTAGCCTGCAGTCTGGCCAGCCTGAGGCTGAGAGAGGGTTCCAGAAGAAATCCCAGGACAGGCGGAGAGACCAGGGCCCAGATGGGCAGGGCAAGCCAGCGGTTAGGAGCATGACTCCACCTGCTAGGAGAGGCCCATTCCTGTCTCCGGCTAGGCTGGCTGGGGAGAAGGGGTGCATCCTAAGCTCCAGACTGCGCAGGAATGCCCACTCTACCAGCAGGCTACAGGGGCTCTCCAGCAACTCATTCTGTGGGTCCTTGGTAAGGAGAGAACCCAAGAGAGCTGAAGGCAAGAAGCGACCCAAAAGTCTTGAACTGGCCATTTCTTCAGAAAAGGGAGAACCCCTAAACCCAGAAATTCTTCTGACTCTAGAGGAGATAAAAATTGTGAGTCCAGACACAGTAGGCACCCCTGGGAAAATGGCCATTCCAGATATCGAGGCTACTGTGGCTCCAGAGAAAGGTTCCAGGAATCCAGAACAATCTGTGATCCAGGAGGGAGGAACATTCAGGAATGTGCTCACCAGTGTGTCCTTGACTGGAGAGGAGAAAACCCAGGAGCATCCAGAATCCACAACACCCTCGGAGGAAAACAGAATCGGAAGTGCAGAGGCCCCTGAGATGCTCCATGAGCCTTCAAATCCAAAAGCCCCTCCATTTTTGGGGAAGAAAGGACACCAGAATCCGGGACACCTGGCATCCTTAGGCATGGTGGCCTGTAAAGGTATTTCCTCCCAAATTTCCTTTTGCCCCAGTATATTTATATCACTAAGAGCCCTGGTGGCTCAAAGGTTAAGCGCTTGGCTGCTAACCAAAACGTCAGTAGTTCCAACCCACCAGCAGCTCCTCTGTAGAAAGGCCTAGTGACCTGCTCCTGTAAAGATTACAGCCTAGGAAACCCTATGGGGCAGTTCTACTCTGTCACATGGGGTCGCTATGAGTCAGAATTGACTCAAAGGCACACAACATTAACCTCCTGAAATGACATATGAAATTATAGATGTATGTGCTTTTTTATATCACTGGGATCCCTGAAGCAGAGGTCCCCCACCTCCATTTGAGAATCGGATGCAGTCTGTGGACCCTGAAAAAAATGCATATGTGTACATCTTTGCAAAATATTGCACTGAATTTCACTGAGTTCTTGGACACTCTGAAGTCCTTCTTTAGAATTCCAAGGGTTTCATGGATCCCCAATAAGAATCTGAGAAAGATTGGGTAAAAATAGCCCCTTCTCACCATAACCCCAGGGCATCTCTCTCTGGGCAGGGAGGAAAGCCTTCCAGCTAAAATTTTAGGTCATTTTTTATTGATGGAGTAGTAATTAGGATTATGTTTGGTTATGAATGACAGAAACGCTGAAGTACAGTGGCTTAAACAAGATAGAAGCTTATTCCTCTTTCACAGAAATGATGCACAAGTGTGGCCCAGGGCAGATGTGGCACTCCACGGATCAGAAACCCAGGCTCTTGTGTTTTTTCCACTCCACCGGCTTTGCTTTCAAGCTCATGGTTTCAGGTGGTGGCATCCTCATTCCAGGGACAACAGGGAATTAGTGGGGACAAAGTGCATGTGATCACTTAGGAAAGTTTCCAGAAGCTTCTCATAACATCTCCATTTACATCCCTCCTGCCAGAATATGGTCAAATGGCCATACTTGTCTTCAAGGAAGGCTGAGACTTGGGGAGGGGGTAGGAAGCAGCCATATGGGTAACCATTGATTTGATCACTACAGAAGGAGGGACGATGGTTATTTGGGGTCCACCAGCAGTCTTGTTTACAGATGTGGTATGAGTTCCTGGAAACTGAAAGGGGATGATGGCAGGGAACTAATGGATTGAGTGCGTTTCTATTTCTTCTCACATCTGTCATTTCTGCTTTATGAAGTTGCAATTATAGTCTTGGTCAGAGCTATTCATAACTGTTATGTCCTCATGGCGAATTATACCCTTTAGCATGGTAAAGTCCCCTTCTTCCTTTTCACTGAACGTTTCTTGAAATTGGATGTGAGTAGTGGTCCATTTGTTTGAATGAAGATTCAACACACATTCCCCAAATGCATACCATGTGTGGCTTCTCTTCTGGGGCTGGGGCTATGGCTAAGAGCAAACAAGTCGCCACCCCCACCCCCCCACCTCCAAGCTCCTAGTCTGGTTATGAGCAGCCTGGGGTGCATTTAAGGGGCAAAGCCAAACACTGATTGGAATGTCTGGCTCTTTATGTCACCTGCTACATCAGTGTATGTGCAGGAGGAGGGCAGAGAACTTATAGCAAAGGCCCACTGGTCTTTCTTTAGAATAAATGCCCATGAATTTTAGGAATTCCAAGTCTTAGGAAAATCATGAGCCCTTAGCTCTCAGTCTCAGTGCTGCCTCCCTGGAGTCTGGTGGGGGTGGGGGCGGGGAGCTAGGACTTGATCGAGCCTAACCGAGAACTCACGCATCCCAGGCTCCAGCTCCCACCGACGGGCGTTGCAGCATCCCTCTGTTAACATCGTGGATTTGCCACTCAGGAGATCTTTCCACTGCCTTGTCCCCAGGGAGACCATGGGAAGGAGAGTCGGCTGGTGGTACCTGCGTACACGGTTCCAGCAGCTGCTCAGGGGGCCATGGGGCCTTGGACGGCCGTTTATCCAGTTGCCCCCGGTGCCAGACCCCGCTCCCAAAGGAGCAGCTGCTGCACAGCCTCAGCCCCGAGCCTCCGCCCCCGTGTGAGCGTCACATGAAGCAGCCCCGCCTGCTCTTCTGTGAGGACCACAGGGAGCTTGTCTGCCTCATCTGCAGCCTGAGTCAGGAGCACCGAGGCCACCAGGTGCGCCCCATCGAGGAAGTCGCCCTGGAATTCAAGGTAGATGCTCCCTGCCTGGGGGCCCTTCTTTGCTGGGCACTTGGACACACCTATCCTTGCTTCACCTTCCTAGCGACCCTGGAGGTTGATGCATTAGTCAGAACTCTTGGTCTGCAAATGGCAGATACAACACAAGCCAGGCCAGCAAAGAGGGAATTGACTGGCTCATGTAGTCAGAGGTCCAGGGAATCTAGCTTCGGGTATGGCTGAATCCAGGCACTCATAGGAAGGTCACTGGGACTCTCTGGCTTACCATCTCTTGGCTCTGCTTCCCTTGGTGACAGAATCATTCTTCCTCTTTCCCAAGCACCCCTTCTCTCGTACCCTCAACTGCAGGACCGTCAGCTTTGCTCCTGGGGCAGATTTTTCCCCTCTAGAGTTGGCACCAACTACAGATGGCAGAAGCCATTAAAGCTCGACAACTGCTCTTTTTCCAGGAGCAAATTCACTGGCAGCTGGAGCATCTGAAGGAGTTGAGAAAATCTGGGGAGGAGCAGAAATACCAGGGGGATAAGGAGACAGCCAACTTCCTGGTAAGACCAGGAGTGTCCTGTGGCCAGGCCTTGCCCAGGCTCACCCCTGCAGAGGGAGGGAAGGGATGGAGAGTGAGCAGGAGTCCCCAAGATTCCATTCTGGTTCGTGGGGAAGCAGAGATGGTGACATATTCTAATGATTACCAGCATCCAAGGATAAGCTTGTTCCTGTAGAGGGAGTACCCTCCTCCCCCCAGCAGGGTGGGGTTATCTCTGAGGATGCTGTCCACTTTCTCATACTTACCCTAAAATTCTTATAGAAGCTAACACCAGTGGCTGCTGCTGGGGAATGGCATTGAGGAAGGGGAGGAGAGACTTTTTAACTTTAAATACCTCTGTATTGTTTTTGTCTCTCTTTTTTTTTTTTTTTTTACAAAAACCATATTTATTTTTAAAAATTCAAACAATTAAAACAGATATTTCCTTTCAAAATGTGATTTTGCGATGCCACACACTGCAATAAGTACAACTTATTGGCCTTCTTCTGTTGAATTGGTGTCCAGCCTCTTTGATGTAAGCCTGGCCCTTTTGTGCTGTAAGTTGCTTCCATTTTTCCTGGAAGCAGGAGTACCTATCCCTACAGCCCCCTAGAAACTTTGGTTCTTCTACAGCATCTAGTTGGTTGGATCTGTCCTATCTGTGTTCCAAACTCCTGGTGAGTCAAACCAAGTCTGTGCCCAACACATCTCAATGGGTAAACGGGTAAAGGCAACAAAGGGCAGAATGGGGGTTGGGAACCATCCCCCTGGGCCAGGGCTGACTTCGTGGAAACTCCTGAATTGTAGTAAAATAATCCTGGCTAACTGGGAACTTTCAGATGGAGCAGAGGGCAGAGATGTTCCAAGGAGAGTGAGGCAGGAGCTGGGCTACTCCAGGAAATCCAGGGAAGCAAAAGTCCACGAAGACGCTCAAAGTGACAAAGCCCTCTGTGAAAGGAGATGCTGTTTTTAAGACTTCTTCTTAAGCTCTTAGTGGATCTGAAGGGCCCTCACCCTCCTTAGTGGAAGTAAAATGTGCCCTGGGGCCACCCCACCTCTCTGAAGAACCTTCTTAGTGAGAAAGAGGGGGCGAAGGCAGAGCTATTGATTGACCAGTGAGCAAAGGTGGTGGAGGCCAAATTCACCTACACGCAAATGGACTGACTGTCCCAATTCAGAAGCTCTTGACCAGGGACCTTCCCAGAAAGGTGCCTACCCTCTGAGGGTGCAGGGAAGTCTCCCTCCAGGAGTTTCCAGGTCGATGGTCACAGCCTTGACCATTTATGCCCTCAGGGCCTGTGCCAGCCTCAAACTAGCTTTTGGGGAAGGACAGAGGTGACACCAGGTTTGAGACCATTTTCCAAGAGCCAGCTCTCATCATCCACCATCCTCAGACTGTTCAGGAAAGTTCCAGGCAACTCTGCCCCTGCTCTGGAAGGGCTCTGAACCAGTTTGAACCCCTGCTGAGAATTTGTATTTCCATCCCAGATATACTGAATCCAAATCTACAATTTAACAAGATCTGCAGAATCACCTGGGGATCTTGTTAAACTGTAGATTTGGATTCAGTATATTTGGGGTAGATATGCAAATTCTCAGCAGGGGGTCAAACTGGGTCAAACCGGTTGGAAGCCCTGAATCCAGGCCTCCCAGAGGCTGAGGAAGCCTGCCTCTTACCCACCCCCAGGGTCAGTTTGTGAGAACTCTCTGGACACACAAATTCACCCCACAGCACAAACCACTACCCCTCCCTGTCCCATCCCCCAGAAACAAACTGAAGCCCAGAAGCAGAAGGTTCGGCATCAGATGCAGCAGCTGTGCCAGTTTCTGGAGAAACAGGAGCAGCTCTTTGTGGCCTGGCTGGAGGAGCTGGGTCAGACCATTGGCCAGGTCAGGGAAAAGTACGGCAGCCGCGTGTCCCAGGACATTGCTCTTCTTGATGAGCTCATCGGTGAGCTGGAGGCCAAGCAGTGCCAGCCAGCATGGGGGCTTGTGCAGGTGCGTGTGGCCTGGGCTCTCTGTCACCCCGCCACTGTTCCATCAGGATGACATGGGGCTCAGCACTGCTGTCCAGCTTTGCCCAAGCTCATGAGCGGGGCACTCGAGGCTGGATCGAGACATTGGGCTTGGTGACACACGATGCTTCCTTGATAAACTGGGAGAAGCATGGGTCACCAGCATCCTAGGGACCCTTGGCGTCTCCCAGAAGAGATCAGCAGGGTTGTGGGGCAGTTTCGTTGCAGGACCCCACCAGGCTGCCACCTTGGGTTATTAGAATCAGGGAGAGGTGCTGCAGTGGGGCTGACACCCAGGGGTGGGAGCCCTGGTAGGGGGCCGGGAGCAGCCTGCCGTCCAGGTCCCCAGGAGGAGAGGCCGGGGGTCAGTGCAGCCCGCAGGAGGCTGGTAACAGAGCTTCCCTCTTTTCTCTCCTAGGACATCGAAGTCACCCTGCACAGGTACAGAGAGGGCCCCTGGTGTGCTTCGGGTGTCCTGCATTTGGGGGGATGGTCCTAGGAGGGAGAGACTCCTGCAGTTTCCTAAGGCCGTTGGGGAGTTGTGTGGGACATGGGGAGCCTGGCCAGGGGGGAGCCGTGGGGTGGAAGACTGGAAGCCAGGCTGTCAGGCTGGCAGGGGGTGGTGCTTCCTGAGCAGTCCGCCCTGTGACAGCTGTCGCAGCAGGACTGCTGTGGCCTTGGGGAAGGATGCACGTTCCAGGGGCGTCTGCTGCTTCTGAGGAGGCCAGTGGAAGGGAGCCATGCTCAGCCCAGCTGGCAGTGGAGGGACGAAGGCAGGAGGCCTCAGAAAGGCAGTTCTCCAACATTGCTGGAATCACCCGAGAGCTTTGCAAACTCCTGATACCCAGGCCACACCACACCAATGAAAGCCGAGTCTCTGGGGGCGGGACCCAGGCAGCAGGGGTTTGGAAAGTCCCCAGGTGATTCCACCCTGTGGCCAGACATGAGGATCAATGTGTAGAACTCACAGTCCATACAGGCTGCCGAGTCCCAGCTCACAGGGACTCAGCTGCCCCCACACTCCAGATCTCCCTGGCCTACAGTGTCTTGTCTCCAGGGCCAAGACAGTGACCATCCCGGAGCCATGGGCCACCCCTCCAGAGGTGAAAGAGAAGATCCACCTCTTCTACCATAAGTCAGAGTTTGTGGAGAAGAGCATGAAGCGCTTCTCGGGTAGGTGGGCTGGGGGCAGATGGAGGGCGCTGCTTAGGTCCTCCCAGAGGCCCCCGCAGCCCAGAGCCCCTGGCCTCCCTTCTCCTTCTCCCCACTGCTTCCCTGATGCTGCCTTTAGCCTCTCCCTGATCATCCTTAGCCAGGGACCTAACTTGGGGCTTCTCTGTTCCCTTTTCTCGTTTTAGAAAGCCTACGTTCGGAAGTGGAGATGCTCACGGGTGAGCATGGTGGTCGTAGTGGTGCTGACCAGGGGTTAGTGCTATAATCCCTTATGCTGTTGATTCTGGGCCTGATTTAGAAGTGAGAGAAACACCTGTAGCAAAGGCAGGAGAAAGGCCACAAAAGGCCCTCGCATACTCTGTGGACAGTCCCTGTGCCCGACTTGTCTCACTGGGTTAACCTGAGAGGAATCGGGTTACACTGTCCACGGGCAGCCGGGTCCTGAGCAGGGGAGTCCCTATCTTTCCTTGTTGTGGAGACCAGGTAGATTTGTTGTTGTTGTTAGATGCCGTGAAGTCAATTTCTGACTTACAGCAACCCCATGTGACTAAGTAGAACTGCCCCCATAGGGTTGGCTTGGCTGTAATCTTTCCGGGAACAGATCGCCCAGTGTTTCTCCTACGGAGTTGCTGGGTGGGTTTGAACCGCTAACCTTTGGTTTAGCAGGGAAGTGCTTATGTTGTGCCACTAGGACTCCTTAGGGTAGATTTAGCCTCTCTCAGTGAGAATGCTCAGGATATTTTTCCCATCTTCTTTTTCCCTGTAGTTCCAGCAGTAACAGCTGCTCAGGCACATGCAGTTAAGTGCCAGATCAAGGTGAGTGGCCTTGGCCTGCTGGGTCCCTGTGCTCTCCCCCACCAGGTCCCAGAAGAGTGGTCGAGTCCATGTTTCCTGGAGGTGGGGAGAACCTGTGGGGATGCTGCCCATGGACCCCCAGCTGGGTATTGTGACTTCCTCTGCAGTTAATGTGATTCTGGATGCAGAAACCACCCACCCCAACCTTGTCTTATCTGATGATCTGAAGAGCGTGAGACTTGGAAACAAGTGGGACCAGCTGCCTGAAGGCCCAGAATGTTCAGTAGCTGCATCCTGGTCGTGGGCTCTCCGACCTTCCTCTCTGGCCGCCAGGACTGGGAGGTGGAGGTGGGAGGCAAGACAGGCTGGGTTCTGGGAGTGTGCAAAGCATCCACGAGCAGGAAAGGGAGTGTGGCTCTGTCTCCTGAGAATGGCTACTGGGTGGTGATGACGACAATGCGCAATGAGTACCAGGCCTCTGCCTTCCCACCCACCCACCTGTGGTCGAAGGAGCCACCGTGGCGGGTGGGCATCTTCCTAGACTATGAGGCTGGAGACATTTCCTTTTACAACGTGACAGCCAAATCCCACATCTACACGTTCACCTGCTGCTCGTCCTCAGGGCCCCTTCAACCTGTCTTCAGCCCTGGTACACAGGATGGAAGAAAGAACACAGATCCTCTGATCATCTGTCCAGTGTGTGTTCAGGGACCCCACTGAATGCCCAACACGTTGCATCTTTCTTCCAGTACCCAGCCTTGAAGCTTGCATTCATGCACTCAATGGTCATTATTATTATTGGACACCTACTGGGTGCCAAGTGCTGTGAGTATTATAATGAATAAGAAAACAGTCCCTGTGCCCGAGGAGCTTACAGAATAGTAGCAGAGGTAAACTGGACACACAAATATTGGTAGACCACACACACCAATGGTGTGCAGTGGCTTTCAGAGGAGGAAGTGCATGGCTGTTGCTTAATAAATACTTGTAAGAGTTAGCACCTTCCTCTGCTCCTGAAGTAGAAGATTCTGCCCTCGTTTTCCCTCTGGACATGTCTCCTTATTCTATCCTTCCCCATCAAGAGGGCATCAGAAGCCTGACTGGATTGTTTATAAAAGTATTTTTGTACCTGAATTAATAAACTCTGATTCTTATTAGTGTGGCTGGGCTTCATGAATAAATCCATTAGAAAATTTGGTCATAATTGCATTTATTGTCATTTAGTTGATCGCTGTGGGATCCCATTTCCTTATTGAATACCCTGAAAGAGATGGGGCTGCTATAGTGGGAAAACATTTACTGCCATTTCAAATATTGGATTATTCTGTCCTGGTCTGTATTGGACAATCTGAGGGCCCGTGGAATGATGGGTGTTGTGTTTCACACCTGTCCCCGCTCTCATCCTCCATTTAAAGAGTAGGAATGTAAACAGCAGGGATTGTAACAATGCAAAAAAAAAAAAACAAAAAAGAATGAAGATTAAACTCAAACTCCTCTTATCCCCGCCTCCTCTCTCCATCTTCACGACTGGAGTCTAGATTAGACTCAGGTTCTCCATGATTGTGACCAGAGTGTGCAAACACGTTTGCTTTCACATGGAGCATTATTCTACCTGTGCAATCCACATGCCAACAGAGTTCACGTGTCCCATTTGCTTAACTGCTCCCTATTATTAGTCATCTGTTACTCCCAATTCTTCTGTGCTATAACCTTTCCATGAAGAGCTTTGTCTATATCTTCCATAACCCCCTACCACCTATACATTTTTCTCCTCATATGCTATTTCTAAAATGGTTCCTGAATGTGAACCATCTGATAACATTTCCATACCATCCTTTGGAAAGATTAAAAAACGCTTTGTCATCTTATAACATGGAGGAATCTGGAAGGCATTATGCTGAGTGAATTTAGTCAGTTGCAAAAGGACAAATATTGTATAAGACCACTATTATAAGAACTCAGGAAAAGGTTTAAACACAGAAGAAAACATTCTTTGATGGTTACGAGGGTGGGGAGGGAGGAAGAGGGGTCTTCACTAGCTAGATAGCAGACAAGAATTATCTTAGGTGAAGGGAAGGACAACACACATTACAGGGGAAGTCAGCACAACTGGACTAAACCAAATATCGGAAGTTTCCTGAATACAACCAAACGCTTCCAGGGACAGAGTAGCAGGGGCAGGGGTCTGGGAACCATGCTTTCAGAGGACATCTAGGTCAACTGGCATAACAAAGTTTATTAAGAAAATATTCTGTATCCCACTTTGGTGAGAGGCGTCTGCGGTCTTAAAAGCTATCGAGCGGCCATCTAAGATGCATCAATTGGTCCCAACCACCTGGAATAAAGGAGAATGAAGAACACAAAAGACCTAAGGAAAGTATTAGCCCAAGAGACAGAAAGGGCCACATAAACCAGAGACTTCATCAGCCTGAGACCAGAAGAACTAGATGGTGCCTGGCTACCACCAATGACCGCCCTGACAGGGAACACAACAGAGAGTCCCTGACAGAGCAGGAGAAAAGTAGGGTACAGAACTCAAATTCTAATGAAAAGACCAGACTTAATGGTCTGACCTAGATTGGAGGGACCCTGGAAGACTTGGCCCCCAGACTCTCTGTTACCCAAAACTAAAACCATTCCTGAGACCAACTCTTCATACAAATATTGGACTGGACTATGGGACATAAAATGATACTCATGAAAAGTGTGCTTCTTAGCTCAAGTAGATACATGACACTAAATGGGCAGCTCGTGTCTAGAGGCGAGATGAGAAGGCAGAGATGGTCAGGAGCTGGTTGAATGGACACAGGAAATCCCGGGTGGAAAGGAGGAGTGTGCTGTCACAGTATAGGGAGAGCAATTGGGGTCCCATAACAATGTATGTATAAATTTTTGTATGAGAGACTAACTTGAATTGTAAACTTTCACTTAAAGCACAATAAAAATAATAAAAAAAGCTTTGTGCCCAAAGAAATGTTTCTTATTTTAAATTTTTTGCTGACTTAGCAGAGGTGTAATGGGGTGTTACCACTGTTTTAATTTATTTCATTACCTGTTAGTGAGACTGTGAGTTTTTCCATGTGAATTTTGGCTTTTTGCTTCATGCTATAGAAATGGTGCTTCTCCTTCGACAACTTGCTCTGTGGAATCTAGGCAATCAGTTTAGTTGTTTGTAGTACTTCTTCATAAATATTTTAGATAGCAAACGTTTGCATTTGTCAGGTGAGATTTTCCCTGTTTTTTTTTTTTTTTTTTTTTTGATACAATTCACATACCATACAATTTACTATTTTAACTGGTAGAATCCAGTGGCTTTTGGTATATTCACAAGATGTGCAACCATCACCAGTAACTAATTAAAGAACATTTTCATCACCCCACAGAGAAGCCCATACCCATTAGCACTCATTCTTCATTTCCCTCCAGTTCCCCCAGTCCCTGACAACCACTAACCTACTTTCTCTCTCTATGGATTTGCCTATTCTGGATGTTTCATATAAACAGAATAATAAAATATGTGGTCTTTTATGACTGGCTTTTTTTGCTTAGCGTAATGTTTTCAAGGCCCAACCATGTTGTAGCATGTATCAGAACTTCATTTGTCTTTATGGCTGAATAAGAATCCATCATATGAATAGACTACATCTTGCTTATTCATTCATCAGTTGATGGACATTTGGCTTTTATCTACTTTTTGGCAATTATAAACAATGCTGCTATGAACATTCATGTATAAGTTTTCATATGTGCATGTTTTAATTTCTCTTGGGTATACCTAGGAGTAGGATTTCTGGGTCATAAGGTAATTCTATTTAATATTTTGAGGAATTGCCAAAATGTTTTCCAAAGTGGCTGCACCATTTTACATTTTCACCAGCAATGCATGAGGGTTCTAATTTTCCCACATCCTCACCAATACATGCTATTGTCTGACTTCTTTATGTTAGCCGTCCTAGTGGGTGCAACCGCCACTTATCTGTCAGTTTGTCATACTATGGTGGCTTGCGTGTTGCTGTGATGCTGGAAGCTATGCCACCAGTATTTTCAAACACCAGTAGGGTCACTCATGGTGGACAGGTTTCAGCAGAGCTTCTAGACTGAGACAGACTAGGAAGGAGGACCAGGAGACCTACTACTAAAGAAAAAATTGGTCCGTGAAAACCTTATGAATAGCAGCAGAACACTGTCTGATATAGTGCTGGAAGATGAGCCCCTTAGGTTGGAAGGCATTCAAAATACAACTAGGGAAGAGCTGCCTCCTCAAAGTTGAGTGGACCTTAACGACATGGAGGGAGTCAATCTTTTGGGACCTTCGTCTGTGATGTGGCATGACTAAAAATGAGAAGAAACAGCTGCAAACATCCATTAATAATCAGAATGTGGAATGTAAAAAGTATGAATCTAGGAAAATTGGAAATCATTAAAAATGAAGTAGAATGCATCAAGATCAATATCCTAGGCACTGTTGTGGTTGTTGTTAGGTGTTGTCGAGTCAGCTCCAACTCCTAGCAACCCTATGTACAACAGAACGAATACTAGGCGTTAGGAAGCTGAAATGGACTGGTATTGGCCATTTTGAATCGGACAATCATATGGTGTACTATGTCGGGAATGACAAATTGAAGAGGAATGACATCGCATTCATTGTCAAAAAGAACATTTCAAGGTCCATCCTGAAGTACAACGCTGTCACTGACAGGATAATATTCATATACCTACAAGAAAGATCAGTTAATATGACTATTATTCGAATTTACGAACCAACTGCTAAGGCCAAAGATGAAGAAATTGAAGACTTTTACCAACTTCTGCAGTCGGAAATTGACCAAACATGCAATCAAGATGCACTGATAATTACTTGTGATTGGAATGCGGAAATTGGAAACAAAGAAGAAGGATCGGTAATTGGAAAATATGGCCTTGGTGATAGAAATGATGCTGGAGATCGCATGACAGAATTTTGCAAGACCAACGATTTATTCACTGAAAACACCTTTTATCAACAACATAAATGGCCAACTATACACGTGGATCTCGCCAGATGGAATACACAGGAATCAAATTGACGACATCTGTGGAAAGAGATGATGGGAAAGCTCAATATCATCAGTCAGAACAAGGCCAGGGGCTGACTGTGGAACAGACCATCAAGTTAAAGTTTGTTTTGAAGAAAATTAAAACAAGTCCACAAGAGCCAAAGTACGACCTTGAGTATATCCCACCTGGATTTAGAGACCATCTCAAGAATAGATTTGATGTATTGAACACTAATGACCGAAGACCAGAGGAGTTGTGGGATGACATCATACATGAAGAAAGCAAAGGGTCATTAAAAAGACAGGAAAGAAAGAAAAGACCAAAGTGGATGTCAGAAGAGACTCTGAAACTTGCTGTTGAACATCAAGTAGTTAAAGCAAAAGGAAGAAATGATGAAGTAAAAGAGCTGAACAGAAGATTTCAAAGGGCAGCTCGAAAAGTCAAAGTAAAGTATTATAATGAAATGTGCAAAGACCTGGAGTTAGAAAACCAAAAGGGAGGAACACGCTCCACATTTCTCAAGCTGAAAGAACTGAAGAAAAAATTTAAGCCTCAAGTTGCAACAATGAAGGATTCTATCGGCAAAATATTGAACGACACAGGAAGCATCAAAAGAAGATGGAAGGAATACACAGAGTCGCCGTACCAAAAACAACTGGTCAACATCCAACTATTTCAGAAGGTAGCATATGATCAAGAGCTGACGCTATTGAAGGCAGAAGTCCAAGCTTCACTGAAGGCACTGGCAAAAAACAATGCTCCAGGAATTGACAGAATGTCAATTGAGATGTTTCAACAAACGGATGCAGTGCTGGAAGAAATCTGGAAGATAGCTACCTGACCGACAAACTGGAAGAGACCCATATTTACGCCCATTCCAAAGAAAGGTGATCCAGCCAGAATGCGGAAATTAGTGAACAATAGCATTAATACCACATGCAAGTAAAATTTTGCTGAAGATAATTCAAAAATGGTTGCAGCAGTACATGGACAGGGAACTGCCAGAAATTCAAGCTGGATTCAGAAGAGGACAATGGAACAAGCAGTATCATTGCTGATGTCAGCTGGATCTTGGCTGAAGGCAGAGAATACCAGAAAGATATTTACCTGTGTTTTTTTTTTTTAATTGTTCATTAGGTGGAAGTTTACAAAGCAAATTAGTTTCCCATTCAATAGTTTGTACATAAAGTGTTTCATGGCTTTGGCTTCATTCTCCACAATATGTCAGCACTCTCCCTATTTCTGCCCTGGGTTCCCCGTTTCCTTTCATCCTGATTTTTTACCCCTTCCTGCCTTCTAATCTTTGCTTCTGAGTAAATACTGCCCTTTTGCTCTCTTATAATTGGTTGTTCTAAGAAACGCATTTCAGTTGTTATTTATTTTATGGGCTTGTCTACTGCTTGTCTGGAATGTGGTCTTTGGGAATGGCTTCAGTTCCAGGTCAGAAGGGTGTCTTAGGGCTATAGATTCGGGAGTTCCTCCATTCTCTGTCAGATAAGTAAGTCTGGTCTTTTTTGTGAATTTTATCTCTTGTTCTATATTTTTTCTCCTGCTCTGTCCTGGACCCTCTGTTGTGATCCCAGTAACAGTGGTCCGTAGTGGTAGCTGGGTACCATCTACTTCTTCTGGTCTTGGGGTTGTGTAGGCTGTGGCTCATGTGGTCCATTACTCCTTTGGACTAATTGCTCCCTTGAGTATTTTGTTTTCTTCACTCTCCTTTGCTCTGGACAGGAAGAGACCAATCGATGTATTTTTAGATGGCTGCTTACAAGGTTTTAAGACACCAGAGGTTACTCTACAACGTAGGATGCAGAACATTGTCTTTATGAACTATATTGTGCCAAATGACATAGATGTCTCCAGGGTTTATGGTCTTTTGCCTTTAAGCCTAGGAACTTCATCCCCCAAGGTGTTTGGTTATGTCTAAGAGGTTTCCCTACTGTGCCCCTTGTGTGCTTTATTGTCTATACCAATATATGAGAAGCACCTACAGGCATGTATGTGGAAATATCCACCACCAATCCTGTATCTGCCAGTGGGTGTGCTCCTTTACAACCTCTCACACCTCTTGGCATATCTATCTACCTACGTATCCATTTGTAAATTATTAATACTATTGTTGCATGATTGTCTATGCTATAGTAGTTACTGTAGTTGCCCTTTATTCTTGCATTCCTCTTACTATTCCTCTTGCCTTGGTCACGTTGTGCTGTCTTCTACCATATTGTGTATTGCCTTTCCTTTCACCAATATTAACACGTGTCTTCTATCTACTTGATAATTTTCCCTCACTCCCCTCAATCCTTGGTAACCATTAAACAATTTTTCTTCTTTTTTCTGTGTGTAAATTTACCTGTGTTTTATTGACTATGCAAAGGCATTCAACTGTGTGGATCATAACAAATTATGGATAACATTCTGAAGAATGGGAATTCCAGAACACTTAACTGTACATAGACCTGTACATTGACCAAGAGGCAGTCATTCAAACAGAACAAGGCTATACTGTGAGGTTTAAAGTCAGGAAAGGTGTGTATCAGGGTTGTATCCTTTCACCATACTTATTCAATCTGTATGCTGAGCAAATAATCTGAGAAGCTGGACTATACGGCCGAGTATCAGGATTGGAGGAAGACCCATTAACAACCTGTAATATGCAGATGACACACCTTGCTTGCTGAAAGCAAAGAGTACTTGAAGCACTTACCGATGAAAATCAAAGACTATAACCTTTGGCTACCTCAACATAAACAAAACAAAAATCCTCACAACTGGACCAATAAGCAACATCATGAGAAAGGGAGAAAACATTAATGTTGTCAAGGATTTCATTTTACTTGGACCCACAATCAACATCCATGGAGGCAGCAGTCAAGAAATAAAACGACACATTGCATTGGGCAAATCTGCTGCAAAAGACCTCTTTAAAGTGTTAAAAAGCAAAGATGTCATTTTGAGGACTAAGGTGGGCCTGACACAAGCCATGGTGGTTTCAATCGCCTCATCTGCAAGTGAAAGCTAGACAATGAATAAGGAAGCCTGAAGAATTGACACCTTTGAATTATGGTGTTGGCAAACGAATCTGTGTTGGAAAAAATATAGCCAGATGCTTCTCAGAAGCCAGGATGGTGAGATTTTGTCTCACATACTTTGGACATATTATCAGGAGGGATCAGTTCCTGGAGAAAGATATCATGCTTTGTAGAGGGTCAGCAAAAAAGAGGAAAACCCTTAATGAGATGGATTGACACAGTGGCTGCAACAATGGGCTCAAGCATAACAATGATCATAAGAATGGTGCAAGACTGGGCATCATTTCGTTCTGTTGTATATGGGATCGCTATGAGTTGGAACCTCTTCAACAGCACCTAACAACAACTCTTTCATATAGATTTACATATATTCAGGTCAATTTTTCCACTTGGTATTTTTTACTATCGACCTATTTGTCTACTCGTAGTGCAATCCATAGGCACCCTAGTGGCACAAGAGTTAACTGTTCTGTTGCTAACCAAAAGGTTAGTGGTTCAAACCCACCCAGTGGTTCTGTGGCAGAAGATATGGCAATCTGCTCCCATGAAGACGACAGCCTAGAAACCTCATGGGGCAGCTCTACTCTGTCACATGTGGTCGTTATGGTTTGAAATCACCTCGACAGCACCTAACTACAACAGTCCAATCCACGGAGTCCCTGAGTCATGCAAACTGTTAATATACCTGCTGGTAACCGATAGGCTAGAGTCTGCCCACAAGTGCGTGGTAAGACAGGCCTGGCAATCTACTTCAGTTAAATCAGCCATTTTAAGATTCTATGGCAGCACAGTTCTACTCTGACACACATGGAGTCGCCATGACTCGCAATCAACTCGACATAGTTTAGTTTTTAGTTCAATCTGTACTGCTTTGATTAAAGGAGATTTTTAGTAAGTTTTGATGTCTGGAAAGGCAGGTATATCCTAACTATTTTTCAAAAATTCTTGGTGCCCGTTTTCATACCAGTCTCTTTATAACATAATTTAAGTCATAGTTAAGTGAGCCTGCTACACCTTAAGAAAAGGCATTCATTTGTATTTTTATTTTTGTCAGCCTGCTTGAGGCCAGTGTTGCACAGATGAATTAGGAAATTCCTGCCCTCAGGGTGTCCTAACCCTGACCAGTGCCTTACTGAGGAATAAACGCTGTATGGGAATGCCGCAGAGGGAAAAGACACTGTTAAGCATCCGTGGGAGGCTGAAACTGGGAACATATACGGAGACAGTAGGAGAGAGGTAAGAGATGGCCGGTGCAGACCGCAGAGTAGAAACTGGCAAGCAGGGGAGGGGAAAGGTAGCCTAGTTCTGACCTACACGCCACCCCTGGCAGAACGGACACCTGGAATGACGCCCAGAACAGGGCGGCAACCTACGCCTACCCTATCCTTTTTGCCTCCGCAGTCTTTGAGTCACCCCGGATGCTGTGGCGGAAACTGCGGCGGCCTTGCGCAGATCTTCCGGTCATAGAGACAGCCCGCTTCCGGTCCAACCTCGGCCCTGCCCTGCCCCAACCGTCGCGCCAGGCAGTCTCCCATTGGCTGTTTGTAACCACACTACATTTCCCAGCAGGCCATGGAGTGAGCTTGCCCGCACCTGGAGTGATGCCAGCCCGCCATGGAGGACTGGAGCCAGGCTCCTGCTTTCCGTCTCCTATGCAGAGCCACAGAAAGGGCGGCTGCCGCTAGCCTGGCCTCCCTATGGCCCTGTGTACTCCATCGGGCGGCCTGGAGCCTCGGCTTCTCAAGCGCAGACGGCTGGCTCCGAACGGGGAGACCAGGCTTCCGCACCGGAAACGAGGTACCGGGCGTGACATCACGGCTGCGAGGCGCCCGGCTTCCCAGAAGGCACCGCGTCCCCGCCGTCTTGCCCAACTGACGGCGGCGGGCACCAATAGTGGCCTGTGAGGACAATCCGAAGGGCGAGGGAAGGTCTCAGCCTCTCGCGCCCAGTTTCCCGGTTTCTCCCGAGCGTGGGTCTCTGGGTCGTCGTCTGCTCGCTCCCAGCGGCGGCAGACTCTCTGAGAGGTGAGCGGGCTCCGTGAGGGCGGGAACCAAGCTGAGGCGGTCTCTGGGGTCCGTTGCGGGGGGAGCCAGGCCCGGTAGGGAGCCGTTTCCATGTCCCAGGTGATGCCGCCACTGGACTTTGCGACAAAGGTGCCCCTTGGTCGGTGGGTCCCTGATGTGACGCCCTCTGCCGCCCTCAACTGGGCTTTGACGGCGGCGAGGAGTCAGCAAACCATGTGTAGACAACTCACATGTTTGCTCGCTTCGAGAGTCATCAACCTCTCCCGAAGGGTACGCGAGGGACGTGCGACCCCAGGGGCGCCATTTGCCCAGATTCAGTGGCCAACATTACTTCTAAGCAGGTGTTCTTAGTATTGGACTCCAGATTTTTTGTCTTCTAGCCTATTGCTTTTTTACCAGCATGAGTTAAACTATTCCTCTCAGTGGGTTTTGCGCGTCATATTTCCCGGGAAAATGGCCCTTGGCCTTTTGCAGGCTGCTTTCGCTCCCTTCATTTCGGGCCTTCTGGTTTAGACATCCTCTAGTTTTCATTCTCAAGATCTTCCTTTCAGCCTTTGCTAAGAGAATCTTGTTCAGAGACCTCACGTATCAGTTGTGATTTCCCTACTCCAGTTTCCTTTCTGAGTTAGCTCTCATGGTGCGTCACTACCGAAGTTGCCTATTGGGGTGTGGTCATGCTCTTACCTGGTCTTGTAGATAACTCATGCTTTCTCTTGTTTGCAGCTTAAGTTGTCTGGAGGATTTCCGTCAGTAAGAAGTGGCTTTTGAAGAAGAAACAAGTGTGGTTGCAAGGCACAATGGCTGCAAAAGTGGTCCCCATGCCCCCAAAACCAAAACGGTCATTTATACTGAGAGTTCCTCCAAATTCCAAGCTGGGCCAAGACCTACTTCGAGATGCCACTAGTGGGCCCAAGACCATTCACCAACTGGTGTTGGAGCACTTCCTCACCTTCTTGCCCAAGCCAAGTGTGGTCCAGCCCAGTCAGAAAGTTAAGGAGACCTTGGTTATTATGAAGGATGTGAGCTCAAGCCTTCAGAATAGAGGTGAGAAGCCAGTGTTGTTTCACTGGAAGTGAAGGGGGCAGTACTGGGAGCTGAGGTAGGCTTCCATGTTAGTAAGTGTCTTAGGGTGGGTTCCCTAGAGAGGCAAAACCAGTGATGCGTATATATGTATACATGTAAATACATATATATGTAGAGAGATTGATTTATTTCAGGGAAATGGCTCACGTGGTTGTAGAGGCTGGCAAGTTCCAAGTCCATGGTTCAGGCACCAGGCTGGAGGCCTCTCCTGACTCATTTAGCTGTGGGGGTTGATGAACCCAAGATTGGCAGGTCAGATGGTAGCCTGCTGGCTCACGGGCTACGGGGGCTGCTGAATCCAAGATCGGCATTTAGGTTGGCAGGCTACTGGTTCGTAGGCTGCAGAGGCTGATGAATCCCAAGATTGGCAGGTAAGACAGGCCACTGGCTCACAGGCTGTGGTGGCTGGTAGATCCCAAGATTGGCAGGCAGTATGGTAGGCAGTTGACTCAAGTCCCAAGGACCGGAGGTCGGATGATGACAAGCCAGATGCAGGATCCAGAGCAAGCAAGCGAGCTTTGCCAAGACGTCCATATATATATTGTATGCAGGCCACACCCCCAGAGAAGCTTCCCTTACAACTGATTGACTGATCATGTTAGATCACATCATGGAGGATGACTACATCATTACATGATTGCTGAATTACATCATTACACAACTGCCAAACCACTGAAAATCATGGCCCAGTCAAGTTGGTACACAACCTTAACTATCAGAGTAATGGATTCAAACTAGGATGCTGGGTATTGAAAAAGGAGTTATTCTGTTACATTGACATGTTGGAAAGAGGAAGTATGTTCTTCTCAAGCTGGAGCAGACAGTGGTGTGCTGGGTATGTAAAGTCATAGAATAAACAGGGTGCATCTTTCTGTATTGTCCATTTTATTCAGATATTCTGGGGGGAAATACCTTTTTAAGATAAAGGAATGTGAATGAATTGTTTCATTGACTCCAGTTTATGAGGTATTTCAGAAGCGCTTGCCGTGGGCCTCTTCAGATTTTGCTGTCCCTGACCTCTCCTTTAATAGCACCTCTGTGGGAAATTTTGAAAGGTAATTTGGGGAATCATTCATTTCAGAATGAGGACACACCTGTGTAGGTTCAAGACCCTGGGGTTTATGGCTTGACCTGTGGACTCAGGAGCAGACAATGTCTTGGGTTGCATGCAGAAGGAATGGGGACAGCCTGGCCCCAGGGTGTGTGTACGGCCGCCATATTAGAGTCACTGACTCTTTCACTAACTGCAGCTTCTTTTTTCCCCAGTGCCCAGAGAAGGAACCCAGCAGAAACAGGAATCAGTGTCTCTGTATTCAAAAGCTGAGCCTGAGGTAGGTTCAATTTCTCTATTTCCTGAGTGTGTCACCATCTCTGCTCTTGCTGCCTTCGCTGCTCAGCCTACCCATAAAACAAGTCCTCATAGTCAGCAAGCAGAGTGGGCCAGTTCTTCACAGCCGCCTTGGACATTTTATTCTGGCTCCCTCCCCCCGCCCCCCACCTTGGCTCCTCTCTGAACCTGGCTCCCTCCTGTGTGCTGCATCTGTGTAGTATTTGGAGAGCCCTTTCCCCATCCTTCTAACCCTTCCCTTGTTCTCTGTGTCCTAGTCTTTCTTACCAGCAGGGCTGTCAAGGAATCTCAGTTACTAAGAGGAGGGGGGCCTGTTGCTCTTTCAGGAGCTGGTGGTCTTTGAGGATTTGAATGTATTTCACTCCCAAGAGGAATGTGTGAGCCTGGATCCTTCTCAACAGCCCACCTCAGAGAATGAAGAATACGATGTTGGGGAGATGATTCTGCTGGGTAAGAAATCAAGTCTCTTGTGTGTTCAGATTGTGTTTATGGGAAAAGTGTGTCCTTCTCCTTCGTCCTTCAGCTTTTGAGGCGCTATTCACACCTGCTGAGCACATGTGCGTGCACACACACACACACACGTTTTACTCCATGTGGTGGAGCCTGGCCCAGCTGTGGGTGGCCATTTTTCCTGTATCTTGTGGATGAGAGAGGAGAGGAGAATTCTTGGCAAGCAAGACCTGTTGCTGACGTACTCTCGTCCGACATGCTAACTGAAACAGCTAGTCTGATGCGCTAACTAACGGCTGACATACGAAGGTCAGATATTGAAACAGACGGAAAATTTGGGCACACTGTTTCTGAACCCATTTTCTGGATCCAGGGCTATTCTCACAACACGTCTATTTTAAATTAGTGTTTTCATTAGACACGTAACTAACTCTTTTAGGTCTTTTTTTTTTCTTCCTGTTCAATAGCTGTGAAACCTACTAGTATAAGTGAAAATATCTGCCACTATTGATGAAAACAGTATCTGACGCTTCTGTGTTATTATGTGCTAAGCATTAGTCTTAGTGCTTTGTGTGCATTTACTATCTCATGTAATTCTCACAATAGCGCCGTGGGGTATAGGAATTGTTACTGTTTTACAGAGCAAGGAACTGAAGCAGAGAGAGGTTAAGAAATTTGCTAAAGGTCACACAGTAGTTAAGTAGTGAGCAGGGACCTCAGAGGTTGTGGTCTTGGCCCAGAGCTATACTGCCTCCTTGTTACATTTCTCTTAATTTTTGTCAGTTACTTTCCTGTGTGGTTGGTGAATGGGACCTTCTTTATTTGTACTCCTTTCCCAATAACGGTTGCCAAGTGTCCCTACTGCTCCATGTGAAACTGGTCTGGCAGCAGCAGCTTCTCTGCAAGCTGCTTAGAGATGCTGCAACATTTCTCTAGGAACATACTGCTAGTGTAGGGGCAGGAGCTCTTAAAGATGGTGTTTGCTGAGTACCTGGGTCTCTTTACCTTACCATCACGGCTGTTTGCTTCTGAGACTCAGTGCAGCAGAAAGCAGGTTTTGGGAGTTGCCTCAGGTGACTGCAACCTATAGTGACTGTTGAACTCTAGTTGTATGACAGTGTATGGTTATGGGGTGTGTGTGTCATGTGTGTTAGGTGCTGTTGAATTGGCTCTGACTCATAGCGACCTTGTGTATAGCAGAATGAAACTTGGCCCGGTCCTGTGCCGTCCTTACAGTCACTGCTGTTTGAACCCATTGTTGCAGCCACTGTGTCATTCCGTCTCATTAAGGGTCTCTTTTTCACTGACCCTCTCCTTTTACCAAGCATGATTTCATTCTCCAGCAATTGGTCCCTCCTGATGATGTGTCCAAAGTAAGCGAGACAAAATCTCACCATTCTCACTTCTAAGGAGCATTCTGGCTGTACTTCCTCCAAGACTGATATGGTCATGTGGAGTGGTATATAACGAGCCCAGTTAACTTTTCACAGGTTATTCTATGTAATATCTTTTTTACGTTGTAGAAAAATAGAAAAAGAGCAGATTTGTTGTCCTGGACTTTTCTTGAGTCTTGGGCGAAGCTAGCATTTATTTTCGATGACTGGTTGGTGGGTATGTTGCCATCTCCAGGAACATTTGGCCATATGCCTTTGGGCCTTGAGACCCGTTCCTCACCATCTCTCCCCCAGTACCCTGAAGCTAATGGTTTAAGCTTAAAGTCATTCATGAACATTCAGACTGGTTGGGTCCTGGAGTTGATATTTAGTGGATTACAAAGATGCATAATGCTCCGTTCCTGCCCTTCGTGAACTTTTAATGTGTTTGTAAGAAAAGTCAATGTAGAATTGTTGTAGCTATAAAGCGCTATCACAAGGTCGAGACAAGGTTGGGACAAAGGAGCAGAGTTTGGAAGAAGGTGAATTTGATTTTAGATGAGATTGAATCCATGGCAGAAAATAAAATGAAATCGTCCTCTGGGTACTTAGAAATTAGAGATTGGAGCTCAGATGTAAGAATGTAGAGATTTTGGAGTCAGTGGCATGTGAGTGATAGTTGAAATAATAACATTTGGTCAGTTCGCCAAGGGAAAAGTACAAGGGATTGAACATCACGGGGCAGGAATCAAAGGAGAGTCTTTGACATAGGAGAACAGAGAATGTGTGTTTCAGTCCAGGACACGTCAAGTGAACCACCTGAAAATAAGTAAAACTGTAGAAAACACTTAAACCAGTTCTCAGAAAGTTATTAAGGTTATGTCTGTTCTCTAATGTGATTAATACACCTTTTCAAGATTCATGTAAATTCCACACATGATAGACAACAAAAAAAAGACTCAGTAGATTTTAAAAAGGAGCGTAATAAAGTATCTGATCTCAATGCATAAAAACTAGAAATTAATAATGAAATCAGAAAATAAAAGTTTCTTCCACCTGGAAATTTTATAACTGTTAAGACCTCCAGTCGTAGGAGAAATACAAATTAAATTTGCATATTTTTTCTAGAAAACACTACTTATTAGAATCTATGATATAACCTAAAGCAGTACTCAGAATAAAATTCATGGCCGTAAAGATATGTATATCCATGAAAAAGTGAAAATAATTAAGCTTCTGACCCATAGTTTAAAAAAAACAGAACGAGCTAACGGAAAGTAGAAGGAAGATATTAATACAAAATAAGAAAATAGTGAGTTAAAAAATAGAATAAGCAGAGGAGCTGATAAGTAGAAAAAAATTGAAATAGATAAACCAGTTTCCACAGAGAGAATGGAAATTGTCAAGGAACTAGCTCCTTCCTAAGACAGAGCAGCGCTTTCAGTTTCGCAACAAAATTCTTCCAAACCTTTAAAAATTAGACAATTTAAATCCTAGGAAAACTTCTAGATTCTTTTTATGAAGTTAGTGTAACAAAACCTGACAAAAATTGCTATGACCAAGTACAATTTATTCCAGAAATGCAAAAATGATTTAATAGTGGAAAACCTATTAATATAGTCAGTCTTACAATAAAAAGATGAAAAATTTTCATTCATTTCCGTAGTTAACTGAAAAGGTATTCAACAAAATCCAAAACACTTCTTCATAAAAATATTTAACAAAATAGTAATAATGGATAAGTTCGTAATAGGGTACCTGTCGTTCTTTCAGCCCAAACTGCAGCTTCATCTTTAACGGGAAACACTGGAGGCATTCCCACTGAAATTAGGAAGATGACAGTGACGCCATTAGCACCACTACTATTTTATACTGTACTGCAGGCTTCAGCCAGTGCAGTAAAATGAGAAAGATATTAGATAAATAAGAATTTGAAAAGAAAAAATAAAAATCTCTATTTACATATAATTGTGTAGCAGGAAAACCCTAGAGAATGTCTGAAAACTTACTACAAATAGTGAAACATTAAGTAAGTCAATAAGATGTAAAATTAATATACGGAGAAATCATTAACTTTCACATATACAATCATTTAAAAGATACAATAGAAAACTCCATTACAATAGGAACAAAAATAAATGAATACCCGTTACAATAGGAACATACATACGTAAATAAATCACCTACGATAAACTTAAGAAATGAACAAAAATTAAACTTTCAAGTGCTTCTAAAGGACACAAAAGTAGATTTGACTGAATGCTAGGAAGGGTTAAGGGTTAACATAAAAAGGTTAGGTCTCCCCAAATTGATTGATAAATTCTATATAATCTCATTAGCAATGCCAATAGCTCCCCCCTCCCCGGAACTCGATAACATGATACTTAAATGGGAAAATAAATACAAATACGCAGAAAACTGGAAAAGAAGAGTAGTGGGGTCGGGAGGGATGCTAGCCCTGGCAGATACTGAAGGAGCCTGTAAAGCCTTGGTAGTTAAACCATGGTATTGACATCTGAGTAGACAGATGAGTGGAATGGAATGGAAAGTTCAGAAACAGCCTCAAGTACACATGGAAGTGTAGTATGTGATAAAGGTGGCATCTCAAATCAGTGAAGTAAAGGGAGACGCTTTGATAAAAGGTGACAACCGAGTAACCGTTTGGTGAATCAGTGCCTTACTTTGCACAGTAAGAAAAAGATTTAAATGTTTAAAGAAGAAAAGGAAGGAAGGAAAGCATAAAAGCACAATTAGAAAATATGAGTGAATTCCTTTATAATGTTCGGATAGGAAGATTTTTCTAATTAAGACTCAAAATCTTGCATGGCAAAGGAAAAAACAAATATATAAGCAAAGTAAGACACAATAAATTGGGAAAAATATTTGCGACTTACATCAGCAAGCCTAATCTTCCTAATGTATTAGGCACTCCTAGAAGTAGAGATCAGGAGCCCTGGTGGTGCAGTGGTTAAAGCACTCATCTGCCAACTGAAAGGTTGGCAGTTCGAACCCATCAGCTCCTCCATGGGGTAAAGATGTGGCAGTCTGCCTCCATGAAGATTCCAGCCTTGGAAACCCTGTGGGGCAGGTCTGCCCTGTCTTATAGGGTTCCTGTGAGTTGGAGTCAACTCGATGGCAACGGATGTAGAAATAAAGAAGAAAAAGACCAAGAAATTCACTGAGAAATACAGATTAGTCTTACCCATATGAAAAGATGGTTAGCCGTACTCACAATTAGAAATGAAAGTGAAACCTGTACTGAGTTAACATTTTGTACTTATCAGTTTTGTAGAAATCAAAAATTTAACAACACACTGATGTTGAGGTTGTTGGGAAACAGGTATTCACATAGATTGCTGGTGTGCATGTCAGAATGGTACAACCCCTGTGTATGGGGATCTGTCAGTAATTACCCATATTACAGATTCTTTCACTCTGACCCAGCAGCCCCACTTCTGAGAATCTGACCTAGAGCTGTAACAACAGCACACATTTGAAATAAAACACAAACAGGTCTATTCAGTGTGGTGTTATTTGTGAAAACACAAGATTGGAAGCAATTCAGGTGTCTGTGTGGGGGATGGTTGAATAAACGATGGTATGTCTACACGTCATACCGTGATAATC